TGTAAAGACCAGTTCGATTGGAGGAAATTAAGTTAGCTATTAGAAATCTCAAAATGGGCAAATGTCCTGGACCTGATGGCTTGGTAAATGAATTCTGCATAACCTTTGTAGAAAAATTGGCTCTAATTCTATTGAAACTATAGTCCTCCGTGGTTTTGGGAAACTTATTAGGATGCTTATATTACATTAGTTCCTAAAAAAGGGAAGGATACTTCCAGGTTGTCTGCATGTAGGCTAACGTCTTTGCTTAATAGCACAAAGTTTGAGTCCAGTTGGCACCTTTAAGACGAACAACGTTTTAAAGGTGCCTGACTGGACTCAAATATTGTTCTATCGCTTCAGGCCAACACAGCTACCCACCTGACTCTTATCTTCTTTTCTTAATGTGGACTGTAAAATATTAACTTCAATAATAGCTAACATTTTAAAAGATTTTGAACAATTACATTTTTTGGCAAACAGTTAAATGTTGGGTAGTATCAGAAGATTAATTAAGCTGATCAGTTTTACAGATCAACAACAGTTTTCTGCAGCATTTTACCTTGTGGACCTGGGAAAACGTTTGGGATTTTTTGAGAGAGATGTTTAGGGCTTTTGGGATCGGTCCTAGCTTCTGGAGAGCCAGTTTGGTGTAGCGGTTAAGTGGGCGGACTCTAATCTGGGAGAACCGGGTTTGATTCCCCACTCCTCCACTTGCACCTGCTGATGTGACCTTGGGTCAGTCACAAGCTCTGGCACAGCTGTCCTTGAAAAAGAGCCGTTTGTGTCAGAGCTCTCTCAGCCCCACCCACCTCACAGGGTGTCTGTTGTGGGGAGGGGAAGGGAAAGGAGTTTGTCAGCCACTCTGAGACTCCGAGTGAAGGGTAGGGTATAAATTCAATCTCTCTTCTTCTTCTTCTTCTTGTGTAGTGGTTAGGTGCACGGGCTCTAATCTGGGAGAGCTGCATTTGAATCCCCACTCCTTCACTTGCACCCACTGGTGTAACCTTGGGCAAGCCATAGTTCTGACAAGAGCTGTCCTGGAAAAAGCAGTCCTTGAAAGAGCTCTCTCAGCCCCACCCACCTCACAGGGTGTCTGTTGTGGGGAGGGGAAGGGAAAGGAGTTTGTCAGCCGCTCTGAGACTCCAAGTAAAGGGCGGGGTATAAATCCAATCTCTTCTTCTCGCTTCTTCTGTAAATGGATTGATTTGCTGTATGCATAGGTTAGTTTCTTGGGACATCTCAGTTTTGTTTGTCCCAGAGGGTGAGAGAGGGATGCGTTGATGTGTTAAGAAATGGATCTCTGGTAGATGATCTTGGTTGGGCAGAATTGCTGCTTTCAAGATGAAGATTTTGGCAAAGGCGGTGGTTTTATTCTTGATGTTACCATTATCTGTATCCCAGGAGGTGTTGGAAAAAATGCAGTCAATATTTGATAAATGTATATGGGGTCCATAGTACAATTTATGTGTGCATCCCAAGCAAAAGGGGTTTAGCCATTCCCTGTATTGTTAGATATTATCATTCAGCTTTATTGATTGCACTAATAAATTGGTTTTGGGAGATAAGGATCAACATTTGAGAGTTGGGACAGAGATAAATATCAATTTCCTTAGACAGATGGATATGACAAAGAAAAATTAGAGGGTTGTATCTTTTAAAAACCCTATAAGAGATGTATTAAATGACAACTGGGACAGATGCTTTAACAGTTTGGGACAGAAGGACAGTATAATAATGCCCCTGTATAAATCGATGTTGCGGCCTCATTTGGAGTACTGTGTGCAATTCTGGTCTCCACACCCCAGAAAGGATATTATAGCATTGGAGAAAGTGCAGATAAGGGCAAAGGGTTGGAACACTTTCCTTATGAAGAAAGGTCAAAGCGGAGCTTCTGGTGGGTGGATCGGCGATGGCGGTCGCTCTCCTCGATGCCCGAGGAGGCGACTAGCACACCTTCGGCTTGGAGGGGTGCCACCTCAAGTGGCACCCCCACTGAGCCATTGTGAAGGGTTCCGGGCCAGGGGGCTTTTGAGGGTTAGCCTCTTCGACGGCTTGAGTCATTGTGAAGGGTTCCAGGCCAGGGGGCTTTTGAGGGTTAGCCTCTTCGACGGCTTGATGCCGGAGAATAGAGGCTTTCCCCCGCCCTGATGGTCCAGCCGATGGGTGACCTTAGGGTACAAGCCAATCTAACCGGGACAAGCGCAGGAGATCGAGTGGAATAGCGTATGAAGAGAGCGGGGTCAAGATATGACCAACAATGAATGTGAGTTTGAATTAAATGGACTATTTCTCTAAAACGGATCCCCCCCCCCGTGGGAAAAACGGAGCGCAAGGAGGGACGCCTCCTAAGCGCTTGAGCAGATTAACGAAGCAAAGGGGGGGGAGGGGAAAGAAACAGCAATTTGTTTTGAGAGACTTACTTGAGCACCGATACTGAACCGACGAGTCTTTCAAGCTCTGGCAAAGCGGTTTTGAACTGTAAACAAAGTGGGAACATGGAGAAGATGAAGATAAGAGTGACAGATGTGGAAGTTAAACAAAAACTGCAGGAGAATCGTTTGTTACAGCTGCAAATGGATAAAGCCAACATATTTCTCAGATTTCAGGGAGTGCCTGAAAATGAAAAAGAAGATTTGAAGAAGACTCTGGGTGAGATCATCGCCCCAGTAACAGGCTTACCAGCAGATGAAATAGTCAAAGATATGGAGACTGCCTATCGGGCATACTCCAATTACATTAAAAAAAACCAGCCTGCCAGGGGAGATTGTGGTCAAGTTTGCAAGAAGACAAACCAGAGATGCAATATTAAAGGCAACTTCGGCAAATCCACTGAAATGTGGGAATTTAACTGTTAAGACTTTAAAAGATATCCCATTTGAAATTCGTCAAAAGAGGAAGAGCTACAAGGAATTAATCTCATTTCTTCAGACAAATGGAATACAGTACAGGTGGGCGAATCCTGAAGGTGTCATCTTTAAAATCAATGATAAAAGAGAGAAGATTGACTCCATCTTTAAAGCAAAGGAATTTCTGAGATGACAGCTGGGGTCAAGGGAAGAACTTAAAGAAGAAGAAACAAAGTCAAGTGACTCTGCCACCTCTGGAACGGATGAGGACTCTGTGGGTGAAGCGGGAGCAAGTAAAACTGTGTATGATTTTTGAGAGAGAAAGCAGAAGTAAGGGCAGAAGGACTCTTGAAATGGCCCTTTGAAGTAAAGAAGATGCTCAAGAAGTGTTCTCAAAATAACTAACTTACTAATATTGAAGCAGTAGTTAAAAAAAAAAGCTCACGAATATATTGTTATACTAACACGTATTAACTTACATATAGATTAACATGGATATGATCTCCTACTCTTGGGTTTTTAGTTAGTGTGGGTATCTTTCCTTTATCCCTAGTTGTAGTCCCTCCCTTTATTTTCTGTTGTAGTTATATATAGTCTTATGAAAAAATAATAAAATTACCCTCTCAGGGGTTTAAAAAAGAAAGAAAGAAAGGTCAAAGCGCTTGGGACTCTTTAGCGTGGAGAAACGACGACTGAGGGGAGACATGATTGAGGTTTATAAGATGATGCATGGGAAATAGCAGGTAGAGAAAGAGGTACTTTTCTCCCTTTCTCACAATACGAGAACTCCTTATGGGCACTCCATGAAATTGCTGAGCGGTCGGGTTAGAACGGATAAAAGGAAGTACTTCTTCACCCAAAGAGTGATTAACACATGGAATTCACTGCCACAGGAGGAGGAGGTGGCTACAAGCATGGGCAGCTTCAAGAGGGAATTAGATAAGCATATGGAGCAGAGGTCCCTCGGTGGCTATTAGCCACAAGGTACACTCTCGGCCTGGGGCAAGGGATGCTCTGTATTCTTGGTGCTTGCGGGGGGGGGGGACAACAGTGGGAGGGCTCCTAGTGGCCTGGCCCCACTGCTGGACCTCCTGATGGCACCTGGTATTTCTGGCCACTGTGTGACACAGAGTGTGGGACTGGATGGGCCACTGGCCTGATCCAACATTGGCTTCTCTTATGTTCTTAAAGAGTGTGATACTGTGTTTATTGTAATAAAGGTATTTTTAATAAAATTTTTTTTAAAAAGGATTGTCTAGTGCTGCAAATTGTCTTACATAAAAGTTTTCATATGACACGTTTTGAGTAAAATGTTGTGTTTTATTTTAACTCATTTGAAAGGGAAAAAAGATCATAGGGTTTTTTTTAGTGTTGCCCCAAATTCCTCGGACATTTTCATCCTGCATGTCTAGAGTGAGTAAAGTGCTCTACTCAAGACAAAATACTTGATAGGAGTCCCCACACACACACACACACAGTGCTCAACAAAATTTCCCGGTCCTTCCGTTGGAAAAACTGAAGGTCCCACGACTTTCAGATGCCGTACACTTTGAATGCGGAAAACCTTGCCGTAAGAAGCATTTCACTCATTCGAAAAGAGAAGAGATTTAAAGAAAGTTTCTTTTCTTCCAGTTCTCCAGTTTTTTAATCAGAAAAAAATGGAATGAAGTCCTCTGGGGAAAATGGGGGGGGAGTCCTCTTTCCCCCGATTAATTTCCCTATCCTCCCCCCCCCCCCCCCCTTCCCTTTTGACAAAAAGATTGGGTCGAGGTTGGGTTGCTGTGATGCCCAGAGGACTGTTAGGGGAGGGAGTCTGGGAGGCGCCGCAGGGCCAGGAGAGAGAGAGAGAGAGAGCGCCCTGAGGCTGCGTTAAACCTGGAGAGATGAGGGCAGGAGTTCATGTAGCAGCTCTCTGCCCCACCGACATGCCGTGCAGTCAGAAGGACAGTGCTGGATGCGTCCTAGGAGCGCCTCCGGCCTTCCCGCAGACCTGGGCTGCTCCTGGCTGCCAGGGGCTGCTTCGTGGTGCCCTTGAGAGAGGGCTGGTGCAGCCAGGGCCCCCTCTGCTTCCTCCTCCTGGCGTCTCGCCCGCCTCGGCCAAGGTGGGTACTACGGTGTGCCCGGCTTGCCCCTCCGCCTCCTCTCGTCTGACTCGTTCTCTCTTCTCTGCAGAGGAAGAAAGGCACCTGCGCGCAAACAACCGGCTCTTCAACCTGCAGTTCGAATATGCTGTGAGTACAGCGGAGCGAGGGGCTTGCTGCGGCAGGGAAGTCTGACTGCCCTTGCGGGGGGTGGGGGGCGGATTCCCTTGGTCTGGGCTGGAATTCTTTCAGTGACTCTGGCCTGCTCTGGACTCCTGGAAGTTGGCAAAGAAACTGTTGACAAGGAATGTCAAACAAACCCCAAACTTGGTGAGGTGCTGGGCGGTGGCGGGGAGAGGCGGGGGGGAGGGAGAGTGCTCCTCAGCTGTTGTGTCCAGAGCCCCACACGCGCTCTGGGCGTCCTCTTCTGAAGCCCCACCTCAGCCGTTGGGTTGGCTGGGTGGAGAGAGCGGAGGCTGGGAGCCCTTTGGAGCGGGCCGGTTTGGGCCCAGTCGGCTGGCCCGCTCTCAGCCGACCAGGAGGGGTGAGGTTGTCGGTCTGGGCGGGCATGGGCCCCTTGGCTCCAGCCCTGCAGTGAAGAGGGTGCTGTGCCGAGCCCGGCCCCTTCCGGGAAGCAGCCGCCCGTAGGTTGGTTTGCATCCTGCTTTCTTGGAATCGACCTGGCTGTTCTCTGCTGTGGGGGGCTGCCCACCCACGCCTGTCATCTAATCTGTGATCAGGCAGTGCTCCAGTGATGTGGCTTCTGCCTCTGCGGCTTCACCGTCTGAACATCCTGCAGAGATTTGGTTGTGCGCCGAGAGATTGCTCAGGGGCCCAGAGCTCCCAGTGGTCATGGGAGGGGGCAGTAAGTAGCGCACATCCTTGGCGCTGAGCCCACTGAATGGCACCGGCGCTCAAGAGTGGCCAGCCGGGAGGCCATATCAGAGGTTTTGGATTCCGCTTCCCACGGGTGATTCTGGTGCATCAGTTCTGTGCCTTCTGGCCAGGCCTGTAGCCACAGTGGGGGCCCCCAGGGCCCGGCCCCCTGACTTCTTCCCAAGGCCCCACAACTTTTGGAGAGGAGTGGGGGGAGGCTGCACATGTCTGGACTCGGCTTGGAGAAGTGGAGGCCGTGTGTGGATTTCCGTGCCCCCCCCCGACTTTTTGAAAGGCCCCCCCCAAATGAAAAAACCCTGGCTATGGGCCTGCTTCTGGCCCTGCTGCCGCAGAGTTCCCCCTTGCTGGGGCAGCAGCCCTCTGGGATCCTGCTGCTGAGGCACGGCCTGCAGAAGGTGCCTGAGAGAGAGAGAGAGAGAGGCTTGGCCTAGCCGGGGACGCCGAAGGTTGCAGCCTGCCTGCTTCCCACAGCCCTGGAAAGGACGCTGGGTGGTTCTACCTGCTGCAGAGCTGCCAGGCCCAAAGGAAGCCTCTGCTGGGGGCCTCAGAGCCCCTCACCACGACAGGGGTGGGAATGGAGCCTGTGGGCACGGCAAGCAGGGGCCGACTTGGGCTGGCCCCTGTTGGGTGGCCGTTTAGCAGCCATCCCTGGATCATGTGTGCTGCTTTGGACTCCCTGCGGCATCACAAAGCTCTCTCCTCCAGACGTGAAAGTCCTTCGCACACTGCTGGGGCTGCCGACTCAGGGTTGCGTGGTGTGGTGGTGATGAGTGGCGGACTCTGATCTGGAGAATCGGGTTTGATTCCCCACTCCTCCTCACCGTGAAGCCTGCTGGGTGGCCTTGGGCCAGTCACAGTTCGCTCAGAACTCTCTCAACCCCACTTATTTCACGGGGCGTCTGTTGGGGGGAGAGGAAGAGAAAGGCGATGGTAAGCGGCTTTGAGATTCCTCAGGGCAGAGAAGAGCAGGGTATGAAAGCCAACTATTCATTTTCTGTCCTGCTCAGTGCCACTCCCCCCCCTTCTTTTGCAGGATCATGTATAGGGATGGGCATGTATATGGTTCGTGTCAGTTTGTGCTTCGTGGCCCCACAAACCGCTGTCCCTTTAAACAGGGTTTGCAGAGAGCCCGAAAAACAGCTGGCGACAAGGGATCAGCCTACTCCTCGCTGCTCAGCTGTTTCAGGCTGTCTTATTTTATTTATTTATTTATTTATTATTTATATTTATACCCCGCCCTCCCCGGAGGTTCAGGGCGGCTTGTGCTGTCCCTTTAAAGTTTAAAGGGAGTGTACAAGAAAGCCTGAATAACAGGTGAGTGGCCAGGAGTGGCTTTTTGCAGCTTCCATGGGGAATAGAAAACAGGGGTTTAAAGGGATTCGGAGTCCCTTTAACCCTCTGCTTTCTGCTCTACCCACTAACTACTTTAAAAGTTTGCTGGAGTTTTTGACGGTAAACCTGTCGTGAACTTTGGTTCGCGAACTAGGAACAGGGCAAAATTTGTGACAGATTTTGCCTTGTGGTTCGGTTCGTGCCCATCCCTAATCATGTAGGCCTTGAAGGAAACGTCACCCTGCATTGTTAGCAAATGCCCCTTCCTCCCTTTGCGTTAGACTTGCTGGGCCATAAGCCTTTGGTTCGGGTGCTGATCTTGCGGTGCAGGAGCCGCGGCAGAGCCCTCGCCGGCAGCCACACAGCCAGGCAGGGCCGCCAGTGCCAGGCAAGTGGTGGGAAACGGGCTGACTCAAGGCCATTTCCCTTCTGATCTCAGCCTCTGCATTGTTTGCTCCTTTGTCTTTCCCCAGAGAAACTCCATCAAGACCGCCAAGTACAACTTGTTCACCTTCCTGCCTCTCAACCTCTTTGAGCAGTTCCAGAGGATTGCCAACGCCTACTTCCTCTTCCTTCTCATTTTACAGGTAGAGGAAACGCCTTTCCTTACCCAACTGTGAGAGGGTCCTGAGGTCGGCCCAAGGGGTCAGGAGGGGGTTCTGTTTTGAAAGAGCAGTTTTGTGGCTGGTGGTAGTCTCATGGCGCCCTGAATCTGCAGCAGTGCATGTGGGTACGGGAGCAGAAAAGGTCCTCGGGACACAGAATCATAGAATCACAGAGTCGGGAGGGAGCCACACAGGCCACCTAGTCTGCTCAGTGCAGGACCAGCCCCCTAGAGCATCCCTGACCAGGGTTTGTCCAGACGCTGCTTGAAGACTGCCAGGGAGGGGGAGGCTCACCACCTCCCCAGGCCGCCCATTCCACTGTGGCACAACTCTGCCTGTAGAAAAAGCTTTCCCTAAGATACAGCCATGGAGCTGCGGTGGCTCAAGTGGTTAAGATGCTGACCTGCAGGCTGTGGAAGGTCAGTAGTTCCGCAGTTCGAGACCCGAGTGTGCCGCATGACAGAGTGAGCTCCCGTCTCTAGTTCCAGCTCCTGCCAACCTAGCAGTTCGAAAGCAAGAAATTGCAAGTAGATAATAGGTACCACTTTGGTGGGAAGGTAACAGCGTTACGTGCACCTTGGTGTTTAGTCATGCCGGCCACATGACCATGGAAACATCTTCGGACAGCGCTGGCTCTTCGGCTTGGAAACGGAGATGAGCACCACAACCCTAGAGTCGGACTCGACTGGCTTTCCAGCAAGGGAACCTTTACCTTTACCTTAAGATACAGCCGGTACCTTCCCGCCCTGAATTTAAACCCATGATTGCTGCCAACAGGAACAGTTCCCTGCCCTCCTCTTAAGTGACCGCCCTTCAGATAATCAAAGAGAGCAATCACGTCCCCCCTCAACCTCCTCTTCTCCAGTCTGAACATTCCCAAGTCCCTCAGCCTTTCCTTGTAGGGCTTGGTGTCCCCTGAGAGGGTTTGGATCCAAGTCTTATGAGGAAAGGCTGAGAGAGTTGGGTCTGTTTAGCCTGGGAAAGAGAAGGCTTAGAGGGGACACGATTGCAGTCTTCAAGTATCTGAAGGGCTGCCCTGTAGAAGATGGAGCGGATCTAGTCTCTCTTGCTTCGGATTGCAAGACTAGATTGAATGGGTGGAAATTACAAGGGAGTCGTTACCGGCTAAATATCAGGAGAAACTTCCTAACTGTAAGGGTGGTTGAGCAGTGGAACAGTCTGCCTCGGGAGGGGGCGGAGGCTCCTTCGCTGGACGTCTTCAAGCGGCTGGACGACCCTCTTTCGGGTAATCGGGTATGTTGTAGGGCCCTCTTTCGGCTGTGCTCCTGCAGAGTGCAGGGGGCTGGACTGGATGACCTGCAAGGTCCCTTCCCACTCTCACATTCTATGATTCTATGATCTGCTTGTGGGGTTTCCCCACCCCCACCGCTTACCCTGTACAGCTTCAGGGAAGGGGTTTCCCCACACGGCATTCTTGCTGTGGCGTGGGTTTCTCTCGTGGGGTGAAGGTGGGCGTGGGTGCATTGGGCCCAGGAGGCTCCTCCCCTGCAGACCCTTCGCTTCAGCCCCCGCTGCTGGCCTGGTGGTGGTGCCTGTGTCCAGACGGCCCCCCTGCGCTCCTCGTGAAGGGGGTGGGGTAGGGCTTGCACTGGAGACGCTGGCCGTGGCCAGCAAAGGAGAAGAGAGCCAGACGGGGTGCAGAGGGGGTTGTGTGGCCCTCGGGGCGCTGTCGCGGATGGCCTGTGCTTGAGTGACCCCCCCCCAAAAAAAAGCACTGGGGAGGAATCAGAGGAGCAAGTGGCCAGTCATCGGGAGCAGTAGTAGTAGAGTGTGGTCAGCTTTGACTCCTTGCAGGCAATACTGCAGTTGAACCCGCCGGGGCGGGGGTGGAGGGTGGGCAGGGCGAGCCCATTGCGATGCACGTGCCGATGCGCCCGGAAGCCATGTTGACTGCCTCTCCCCCCCCCCCCCCCCCGCTTCTGCTCCTGCAGCTGATCCCGCAGATCTCCTCCCTCTCCTGGTTCACCACGGTGGTCCCCTTGGTCTTGGTGCTGGCCGTGTCTGCCGCGAAGGACGCCATCGACGACTTTGTAAGCCACCCGGTCCCGGAAGGAAACGTTTCCCTTTCTCAGCTGGCGACTGACAGCCCAGCCTCTGAGCCCAGCGGGCCTGGGAGGGGCAGCCCGAAGGGGGTGGCAGGTTGGCCGTCTCTGCTGCTGCTGCCCTGGTCCTGGTCCTGGCCAGGGGACTGGCTGCACAGCAACTGACCAAAACACCCGTGCCCACTGGGAAAACCGGTCACCAGGCAGCCAGTGGAAGAGCTGCCCCAGGGAGAAAGGTCCCATCAGGGAAGCTTCCTCCGGTCACAATGGCTCAGAACTGGGGAGGGGAGAGGGAGGCCCCGGGGGGGGGGGGGGGGGGAGCAGCAGACCAGGAGAGGTGGGGGCCTCCACGCAGCAGCGGCCTTCAGAGGCCGGGTGCCGTGAGGTTGACTGCAAGCTAGCGGGGTGCTGCGAACGCCAAATCCAGCCTCGCCCGAGGGGAGGGAGTGGCCAGTTTGCAGTAGCTCAGTGGGCCATGGTGGGAAGAGGGCTTGCCCGCTAACCGCACTCTGAGGTGACCTGGGAAGCCCCTTCTGCAGGATGCTGTGGGTCTCCGTAGGCCTTGCAGACAGACATGAGCCAAAGGGGCCGTAGAATCATAGAGAGTTGGAAGGGCCCATAGAGACCATCTAGTCCAACCCCCTGCCGCCCGATGCAGGACCAGCCTACAGCATCTCTGACAAATATTCGCCCAGCCTCTTCTTGAAGGCTGCCACTGAAGGGGAGCTAAAACCACCTCCCCAGGCAGCTGATCCCACCTTTGAACCACTCTGACCGTGAAAAAGTTCTTCCTAATATCCAGCCGATACCTTTCTGCATGTCATTTCAACCCGTTGCTTCGGGTCCTGTCCTCTGCTGCCAACTGGAACAGCTCCTTGCCCTCCTCCTCCACATGACAGCCTTTCAAATATCTAAAGAGAGCAATCCTGTCCCCCCTCAGTCTCCTCTTCTCCAAACTAAACATTCCCAGGGCCCTTAGCCTTTCCTCATAGGGCTCAGTCTCCAGACTCCTGATCATCCTCATCGCTCTCTCCTGCACTCTTTTGATTTTGTCCACATCCTTTTTGTGGAAGTGAGGCCCCCAGAACTGCATGCAGTAGAATCACAGAATGTAGAGTTGGAAGGGATCTTGCAGGTCATCTAGTCCAACCCCTTGCACTCTGCAGGAGCATAGCCGAAAGATAGCCGTACAACATACCCAAAAGGTGCGGCCTGACCAAGGCAGTATACAGAGGGACCTCCTGCGATTTCGATGCTATGGCCTTTTTATTTATTTATATATTTAATTTATTTTATTTTATTTTTATCCCGCCCTCCCGCCAAAGCGGCTCAGGGCGGCTTACAACAATAAAACCAGCAAACAATACCTCTAAAACAATCTATACAATACATTAAAATCGAATTTTACATACAACCCAAGACCAGTGTTCCCTCTAAACTGAGTTAGTGTGAGTTGGCTCACAGTTTTTTAGCCTCTGGCTCAAACATTTTTGTCTTCGCTCAGGAAGGAGGGCTCCAGAGCAAACTAATTTATGCAGTAGCCAAATCGCTCACTCACAACTTTAATGCCAGCAGCTTACAAAGTAGGATTTTTGTTCACAAGACTCCACAGCTTAGAGGGATCACTGCTCCAGAGCAAACAAATTTATGCAGTAGCCAAATCACTTGCTCGCAACTTTAATGCCTGGAGCTCACAAGACTCCACAGCTGGATTTGCCTTTTTTGCCACCGCACCACACTGACTGCTCACACTGTCTCGGGTAGCCCGCTCAAACCCTGCTCCCAGGCCTTTTGGGGAACTTGTGTGTGTGTGTGTGTGTGTTTGTGTGGTGGCGGGGGCGGGGTGTCCCTCCAGGCAGGCCGAGGAGAAGGCCTCCCCCAGGACTGCTGCCTTGGCCCTCTGCGAGGGGCCAGCGGAGTCCTCCCCGTCTCCGCCTGGTACCTTCGAGCCAGCCAGGGACAGGATTCCCAGGTCGAGCAGATGCCGGCGGCAGGCATTGTGTGCATTTGGTTGCCAACTCTGGTCTGGGGAATCCCTGGGGGTTTCAGGGTGGAGCCTGAGGAGGGGGGCGGGGTTTGGGGAGGGAAGGGAAGGGAGCCCCCGGAGGGTCTTGTGCCCCAGCACCCGTCCTCCAAAGCAGCCGTTTCCGCCAGAGGAACGGATCTCTGCTGTAAGTGTGGGAGAGCGCTAGATCCCACCTGGAGGTTGGCAACCCTAGATCCATGGGACGTTCCACCCTGGGGAAGAAGTGGGAGGGTCCGGCCCGAGCGCCTCACCCCAGTTTGCGTCTGTCTCCGTGTTTTCCAGAATCGACACCAAAGCGACAAGCAGGTCAACAACCGCCCTGTCCAGGTGCTGCTCAACGGCAGGTGAGGCCCGGCTGGACTCCTCCTGGGGGTCCAGCAACCCGAGGGTCTGGGGCACGGACTCCCACCTGTCGGTTGTGGGGCTGCTTCATTCACTTTCTCTGCAATGGGGACCCCCCAAGTGGCTTCCAGCCTTCCCCTCTCCTCCATCGTATCCCCACAACAACCCTGTGAGGCAGATCGGGCTGAGAGAGTGCGTGACTGCCCAGCGTCGCCCAGCCAGCTTTTGTAGTGGGGTTTCGAACCTGGGTCCAACAGAAGGAAGAAGATGGTTGCCCACCCCCTTTGGTCCCCACTGTGACAGAGCTGTGCTCACCCCATGGCTAACGATCCCCCCCAAAAAAATAAAGCTTGCGTTTCGAGTTAGACCCACCTTTCTCTGACATCCAAATCAAGGCATCATCAACAACGACATCATCGGAATCCTGCAGATGTGCGCGGGGGGTGTTTCTTTTTGTAAAACCCGGTTGTGTGTTGCCCAAACAGAGGATAAGGATCGGGGGGGGGGCGTAGCCCAGGCTTCCTCTTGCAAGGGTGTTTGGGAGGTCAGGGGGGGACCCCCCCCGGCCTCCCTCTCCCCCCTCACTGGGCCTTTTGCCGGTGTGGTTTCCCTCTTCCAGGCTGAAGGCCGAGTGCTGGCGGAATGTGGAGGTGGGGGACGTCATCAAGCTGGAGAAAAACAACTTTGTGACGGTGAGCAAGAGGCCGAGCTCGGGGGGGGGGGAGCTGCTGCTGGAGGGGCGGAACCGGGGGGGGCAGAGGGGTTTCCCGTGGGGGTGGGGGTGGTGGATTGTGGGTGTCTTTCCTTGGGCAGCTGTAGGCATGAACATAAGAACATCAGAGAAGCCAAATGTTGGGTCAGGCCAGTGGCTCATCCAGTCCAACACTCTGTGTCACACAGTGGCCAGAAATACCAGGTGCCATCAGGAGGTCCAGCAGTGGGGCCACAGGACACTAGGAGCCCTCCCACTGTTGACCCCCCCCCAAGCACCAAGAAGACAGAGCATCCCTTGCCCCAGCCCGAGAGTTCCTATCTATACCTTGTGGCTAATAGGGGCCACTGATGGCCTCTGCGCCATTTGCTTATCCAATTCCCTCTTGAAGCCGTCCATGCTTGTAGCTGCCACCACCTCCTATGGCAGTGAGTTCCATGTGTTCATCACTCTTTGGGTGCAGAAGGACTTCCATATTGCATATGGCAGATTTCCACACATTCCCCCCCGCCCTGCCTCCCTGTCGCTTGCAGTGGCCCACGGCACGGGGGTGGGGTGGGCTGGTTAGGTTTTTTGGGGGGGGAATCCACAGCAGCCATTTGGAGTTGTGGCAGCACCATGCCGTTATAGCAGTCTGTCTGCCAGGCCTTCTGTAGTCCCAGCCGGGGAGATCTGAACTTTGGGCTGTGCTGAGAGCCTGCCCAAAAGACGGGAGGGGAGACGGGAGAATGCACAGGGAGTGCACGGAAGCTTCCTCCTTTGCAGAGGCTTTGCCAATGGCCTCTGCTTTGTGTGCGGAAAGTCTGGTTAGAAGGACCAGGTGGGAGGGGGTGCAAAAGGCCCAAGACCCTGGGGAGCCCCTGCCGGTCTGAGGAGACAGAGGTGGGTGAGCCGACCCCGCGCCTGTGGGGCTGGGCCTCCAGGTTTCCAACGGCTGCCAAACAGAAGCCGCTTTCCAGACTTCCTATGGAGCTCCACCCTTGCGGGGACAACCGAGGACAACAGCTTCTCTCCCCTCCTGCGTCCCTGCAGTGCTGGGGGATGGAGAGGAGCCTCCTGGTCCCACCCAACGGGCACAAGCAGCCCAGCAGCCCACTGGCGAACCGGCTATTGGGGCCCAGGGGGAGGGGGTGAGAAGGCAGGTCCAGCCACCATGGGTGCTTGAGCCTCTTGCTTCTGCGTGTGGAAGAAGATGCCTCCAGAGCCATTGGTAAATCGCTTACCGGCTCCACATCAGATTATTGACTTCTTCTGCTTGTAATTTATGGTAATAATTGTATAGTTCATGTAACAATGTGCGCCCTGATCCAGTGAGGGAAGCGTGTGTGCCTCCGGCATGGGCGTAGCCAAAGCGGAAGCACACCTGGATGCGCAGCCCCACCTGCCTGCCCTCCACCTCACCTGTGGGCAGAAACGAGGGAGGGGGAGGGGCATGTGGGGAAGGAGCCACCTCCCTCGGCCTGACTCTCGCCGCTCTCCCCGTCCTCGCAGGCCGACTTGCTCTTGCTGTCCAGCAGCGAGCCCCACAGCCTGATCTACATCGAGACGGCTGAACTGGATGGGTGAGTCTGCACTGCCTTTGCCATGGCGAGAACCGCTGGGCAGGCCCAGAAATCAGGGGCTAGGCCAGTGGTGGGCAAACTCATTAGTCAAGAGAGCCAAATATCAACAGTACAATGATTGAAATTTATTTTGAGAGCCAAATTTTTTAAACTTAAACTATATAGGTAGGTACATTGTTATTAACTTAATTAGGGTACTCCTAAACTGGCCTTTGCTAAAAATGTCCTCAGTCTGATTGAGGTACGTTCGCTGAGGTCGACCCCTTTCAACTCTCCCGTCCACACTCGTCTTGTATACTTGTTTAGTCTCCTTTCGTTCATCCTCTCTATATGTCCAAAGTATCCATAAAATTAAATCATGACAATGACTGACAAACACTAATGTGAACAATGGCCTTGCATCTCCTTGGAAAGTTTGGGCAAGTCAGGTTTGTATGTTGTTTTTAATTTTAGGCACACTCTAGAGAGCATCAATATGTATGGCCTCGCTGGACCAGATTCAAGGTTCTTAGCTAGCAGCTAGCATTCTGTTCCCAACTGCAGCCTTCCAGAGGCCTCTGGAAGCTCAAAGAGCTGTTTGCCCTCCCCCATTCTCTCAACAGCATTTAATATTAAGAGGTTCAGTGTCCCTGAACACAAGCTTGATTAAGTTCACAATATATTTCATCTCTACGGGTTCCCCCCAAAAAAACCTTCCCACCCACATCTTGTGGCAGTGGCTTTCACAAGTTAATTGGGCGGGGGGGGGCAGTTTTCAGAGGCCCGCAACAGTCATCCTTCCTACCCAGCTCAACTGTTTCAAGCACGC